TTATATTGGACAGACGGGACGTAACATTAGCGTAAGACTAAATTAACACCAAAGTAACATTAAATTATCCCAAACAGAGCTGTTTGCAGTGGCAGAGCATGCTTGCCAACAAGGACATTCAATTGATTTTGACAATGTTGAAGTGTTATGCAGAACTAATTATTACTGGCCAAGATTAGTTAAAGAATCAATTGAAATTTCGAAGAATGCAAATTATTTTAATCGCTGTGATAGCTATAGACTCAGAGCAGCCTGGAAGCATATTAATAATAATACACAACACATATTGCAATTCCTTACAGGTGAGTCACATGCTAAGTGGTTGATTACTGATCTATTACATAATTGCATACATCCCCACCTCTGATCTCGAATCCTGATGGGGGTTCAACAATGATGACGTCATTCTGCACTATTTAAGACAGGAAGCAGGTGGATGGCTTCACTATTCTGGCAAATCGCCCGAAGATTCTGGATGTAATTACCAGCGAAACGTCGTACTCAAATTTTAAATGTTGTGGATCCACTCATCAACACACCGGTGGGCTAAAGTGAAATATTTGTCCTTTGTCAACGTGACACATTTTTTACTGATTAGCCGTGTCGGGTGGTGGAGGGTTGTGACACATTTATAAATAACGCGATCTAACCCAAAAACCTTGATTATGAATAATACTGGTCGCGAAAGCCTACGTGTTAAAATGAAACATGCAAATCAAATTCCGACCAGATGAAAACCTCGGCAGAATTTAAACTCATTGAGCTAAAATCATATCACGAAGTTGTTGACGGCTCCGATGCTGCTGCTGCCGCCACCACCACCACCACTGTCCTCTCCAACCTGCCTCCTGTTCGACGACAGATTCCCAAACATTCACCTCTTTCGGGCGTCTCCATTCACCTCCCATTCAATGGCAGAGTCAAGATTTTCAGGTAGGGGCGGCAACCCCTCCAACGAAAAATGATAGAGGAGTTGTTAGTAACTAAGGACTTGTCCCTTGCTTTATATTCGACGCGTGTGCGGCGATGGCACAGCCATCGATCGAGGGTCGAATTTGACGTGTGTGATCGGCATCGCGCTCCCTGAAGGTGAATGCCTTCAGGGAAGTCGTGGACTGTATACGCAACTGCGCACAATTCTGAGTCACTTATAACTGCTTTGCCGTTACGTATTGCCAGTTATGGACTCAGACTATTGTCCTATCATCTCATAGATTCCCTGGCACATAATAATATGCTACGCAGTGGGGGTCGCAAAATGCCCATTTATTACTAATAAACCCCAATGATCCGACCGAAATTAGGGATTTCGATCGGATCATTGGGGGGGCACGTGCCGCCCCCCCCCCCACTGGCTCCGCTAGTGCTCCCATTGCTCGCAGCCCCCGCGCCTAACCGAACCTGTGGCGAGTTTTGGTGGATCACCATTGCTGGATATTTGTAAAAAATAACCTTATTTTAGGTCATCACATTCCTCCAGTATAAATACATATTATGATTCACAGATGTTTTGAAACTCCCTTCTTCCCGATGGGCTTCGAGCACGTGCCATACCCTGGCTCGCCAGGAGAAGGCAGTGCAGCAAGTGTAGTAATCGCCACCTGTTTCCATCTCGCATGTTTGGGTTTTTTACGGGTTCTCCAGTTCCCTCCCACTCGTATGCACTGTTTGTATGTTGAACTTTTTTCGCACCATACGTAGCCAACCGTGCCGATCGGAGGTACGGGAGAAGGACAACAAACTTAAAGGCAAAAAGCAGATCTAAAGAAAGAGTTTTCAATCTAGATTTAAAAGTCCACAGCTGCAGTGGTTTCCAAATCTTAATAGAAAAACCCAGTGGATAAAACAATCACGTTAATCTTCATAGAAAAACCCAGTTTTTGATGAGTGTATAAACATTTACCGTTAATCTTAATAGAAAAACCCCGTTTTTGATGAGTGTGTAAACATTTACAAATGAGTGTATGAACACTAACCTTTAATAGTAATAGAAAACAACTATTTTTTATGAGTGTATAAACACTCACCGTTAAGTTTAATAGATAACCCCAGTTTTTGATGAGTGTATAAACACCGTAAAATCTTAAAAGAAAACCCCAGTTTTTGATGAGTGTATAAACACTGTAAAATCTTAAAAGAAAACCCCAGTTTTTGATGAGTGTATAAACACTCACCGTTAATTTTACTAGAAAAACTCCAGTGCACAACCCTCTTAGAAAAACATTCCTAGGACTGGCATGGCTCATCCTAGATAAATATGTAATTATTATAATAATATTATTACTCATCTTATTAATTACATTCACGTCCCGATTTACTCAGCCGTTGCTTCAAGACCAATGCTGCCCCAAGCGTGTGAACGCGATGCCCCCCGGTTAGCACGGTTGGCTACATACTGTGCGAACGAAGTTCAACGTACATACGTGTTGGAGTGAAGCTTTTATATTAAAATTACTTTAGAAGTTGATATCCCGAGTAAAGCCATTGGTGCAAGCTGTTTCAGCTGTTTATCTGATGTTAATAATGATGTCGATGATGGTGATGATGTTGGTGGTGGTGATGATGGTGGTGATGATGGTTATGAGTTTGACTATGATGGTCGTGATGGTGATAATGATGTGATGTTAATGGGAATGATGATGGTGATGATATTGATGGTAGGAATGATGTTGATGGTGGTGATAGTAATGATGTTGGTGATGGTCATGATTGTGATGATGATGGTAATGATGTTGGTGAGGGTAGTGATGATGTTAATGATGGTGATGATGATGATGGTGGTGATGGTGATGATGATGATGATGGTGGTGTTGGTGATGATGTTGATGATGGTGGTGGTGATGGTAGTAGTGTTGGTGATGATGTTGACGGTGGTGATGGTGGTGGTGGTGGTGATGGTGATGATGGTGGTGTTGGTGATGATGTTGATGATGGTGGTGGTGATGGTAGTAGTGTTGGTGATGATGTTGACGGTGGTGATGGTAGTAGTGTTGGTGGTGATGTTGACGGTGGTGGTGGTGATGATGATGGTGGTGGTGATGGTAGTAGTGTTGGTGATGATGTTGACGGTGGTGGTGATGGTAGTGGTGTTGGTGATGATGTTGACGGTGGTGGTGGTGATGGTAGTGGTGTTGGTGATGATGTTGATGATGGTGGTGGTGTTGGTGATGATGATTTTGGTGATGATGATGGTGATGATGGTGAGGGTCGTGATGATGATGGTGGTAATGGTAGTGGTGTTGGTGATGATGTTGATGGGGGTGGTGGTGATGGTTGCGTGTGTACCGGTTCACCTTCTCCCCCGCACTAGGGGATGAAGTTGGTTCTCAAGATTCGGCGTCTCCCCACATGACCCTGGCATTGCCTCGTGTCGCTGGCGTTGTGTGTCTAGTGTGTTGTTCGCGTTCTCATCTCTCATGTTGCGTTGTCTGTCTTGCGTCGTGTTGTGTGCTGTGTGTGTCGCTCTCATTGTCTGTCTTGCGTCACGTCTGTGTCGTGTTGCTCACGTTGTCTGTGTCGTTTTGCTCATGTTGTCTGTCTCTTGTCGCTCGCGTTGTCTCGTGTCCATGACACGCGGTGGCGCCTTCCCCCGTGACGGTTGTCTTCCGTTCCGCTAGCAGGAGCGGCAGCGCCGACGCCACACATGCTGGACTGGAGGAGTGAATCACTGCGCATCTGTAACACATGCAGCGTCCGTTCACTCTCGGCGAGAGAGATCGTCATTCGGAGCAAGAATGATTTTGAGAGAGAGAAAATTATTTGTAGAGAGAGAATGAATTTAGATTTTAAGTTTTCGTGACTGCAGGGATCCATACTCTTTGGTTCTTTCGGTAAAGTCACGTAGAGAATGATTCACGTAGAGAATGAATCACGTAGAGAATGATTCAAAGGCTTGAGAAACAATAGAGCAGCAGTGGAAGGCATCCAGACTGGTATGACCCACAATTGCCCAAGTTCTGTGGTTCCTATACAGAGACTTCTCTACTTAGGTTCCAGAGGTCTGTTCGTAAGTCGATTTGTTCGTAAGTCCAACTTTACTCCTGTCCATCCCAAACGTACCGCGTATACACTAAACACGGGCAACGGCTTTAAAAGTTCTATAATCTCTTGTAGATGTAGATGCCACTGGTTCTTTACGTTCTGCAGATGTAGACGCCACCACCGCCATTTATTGCGCGGCGGTTGAACATACGACTCTCGGTCCGAGCAGGCAATTGGACACACGGACAGCTTTGTTTGTATCACTGAAAGTTCGCAAGTCGAATCTTCGTAAGCAGGAAGAGTCTCTGTATTGGGATGTTTGGCCAAAATAGCTCGCACGGCGAGAGACAACACCCAGCTGCCTGGAGCGGGGTACACGGCGGCTTCCAGCAGGGGGCTGAAGTCAGAACTCCCATTGAGAGGGAGGCCGAGCCACTTGGAACCACGTGATCCGCACACTCCTCCTCGCCATCATCGATATCACCACCGTTGTCATCATCGTGTGTCCCTGTGTTGACGTGAGTGTTTGTGTTCCTGGGTGGCCTCGTGTTCATCCGTGCGTGCGCTCGTGTTCTTACGCGTTGCTGCGCGTGCGAGACGTTCCTGATTGACGTGTCCACCTCCCTGTGTCCCCCGTCCCCTGTGCCTCCCTGTGTCTCCCTGTGGATCTCCGTGTCTCCCTGTGTCTCCCTGTGTCTCCCCGTGCCTCCCCGTGTCTCTCCGTGCATCCCCGTGTCTCCCTGTGGATCTCTGTGTCTCCCTGTCTCTCCCTGTGTCTCCCTGTCTCTCCCTGTGCCTCCCCGTGCCTCCCTGTGTCTCCTGTGGATCCCCGTGTCTCCCTGTGGATCCCCGTGTCTCCCTGTGGATCTCCGTGTCTCCCCGTGCCTCCCTGTGTATCCGTGCATCCCCGTGTCTCTTCGTGTCTCCCCGTGCCTCCTCATGGCTCCCCGTGCATGCCCGTGCTTCCCCCGTGTCTACCCGTGTCTCCTTGTACGTCCTCGTGCCTCTCCGTGGCCCAGCATCTCTCTGGATCAGCCCAGCTTTGGCTCCCCCATGGGGGCCCCCGGGAGGATCCTGGGTGGTGGGGGCACCCTGGGCCTGCCGTGCTCGGGGGTGGTGATGGCCCGCCGCGGGCGCCCCTCGGTGGGCTCGGCCGGCTCGGGGGCCCACGGAGGGCACGGGGGGCCCTACAGCTCGACCACCGGCGGAAGAGACGACATGGGGCCCGGAAATCACCCGGACCTCATGAGGGTGAGCGAGCGGGCGCATGGCGACACGGGCTGTGCGGGATTACAACCGCACGCGTCGTAGCCGTCGAGTGTGCAGGCAGTGCAACTGCACAGGCAGGAGGGTTACCAGGCACCCGCCTACGAAGAGGGTTTGGGGTGGCGTGTGGGACAGTGAGAGATGCCTCTTGCATTCACCGCACTGGGGCGCACGGAAATCGTGGTGGGATTCGGAGTATAAGATCCAGGCAGACTCGGTGCCAATGGACTTCGCAGCCAGGCTCCACACCTCCGATTAGCACGGTTGGCTACGTACAGTTTCAGTTTCATTTCAGTTTCATTTATTAGGTATGCGGCTCTTGACTCGGGTGCAACTGCAACAAACAAAAACATGAACAAGAAACATCTTCAAGTGACTACAGTTGACCCTGGGCTAACTTTCCGAGGCCACAAGAAGTGACTTTATTTTGTTATCGTTGTTCTGCTCGTTCACCCACGAGGCCCTTGACGAGTCTCAAGACTATTTTTCAGGAGGGTCTTGCCAAGTTTTTCCGCAGTAGCTGCTGCCACCGCTGCTGCCGCCGCTGCTGTTGCTGCCACCGCCGCTGCTGCTGCCGCTTCAGCTGCTGCCACTATAGCTGCCACCACTGCTACAGCTGCCGCCACTACAGCTGTTGCTGCCACCGCCGCTACAGCTGCTGCTGCCGCTTCAGCTGCTGCCACTATAGCTGCCACCACTGCTACAGTTGCTGCCACCACTGCTGTTGCTGCCACCGCCGCTACAGCTGCTGCCACCGTTGCTGTTGCTGCCACCACTGCTACAGCTGCTGCCACCGCTGCTACAGCTGCTGCCGCCACTGCTGTTGCTGCCACCGCCGCTATAGCTGCTGCCAACGCTTCTGCCGCCACTGCTGCGCATGATCCCCGTCGAGTTCATTTGCAAGGGGACGTGAGCGGTAGGAATCGACTTAAAAATAAAGGGAAGTGAAGGATTGCTGGACACCTGGTGGTGGTGGTGGTGGTGACGGTCGCAAGGGGAACACGAGGCAGCCTGTATCGAGGCAGGTGGAGACGTTCTCTCCACTCTTGCCGTCGCTCCGTCCTTGTGAGACAGCTCGGGTCCCCACGTGGTGGGTGGCAGAGCGGTGGCGTAGTGGCTCGGACTGGCGCCTCGCAGCGGGGAGCGCCCGGGTTCGATTCCTGACTCGGGCGCCTTCCCGCGAGGAGTTTTTGTCCGCATGGGTTCCCTCCCTGGCTCTCCGGTGTCCTACTCCCATGGCTAAACCTACACGCGCAGTGGAAACTGCGATCAGCCAAAGCATTCGAAACCTGCAAATCGCTCAAGTGGGATGACAATATCGCCCCCTGCTGTAAACACTTGGCAGGACCCATCCTTCGTAAACACTCTTAAAAGTGGTAATAATATTTCAGGTTTTTTTGTTGGTATGGCATTGGTATGGTTGGTATTGGTATGGCGGTGGTATCGTGTGGTATTGTGTTGGTATCGTAGTGGTATCATCACGGTCTCGCATCGGTACGGCATTTGGTATGGCAAGTGATATCCTACACAAAGACAAATATCCCCTGTATAGCCTTAACAGACTGTAGGGGCAAGTGCTGTTAGCGAGCTCTTATGAAGGCTGGAATGGTACACGAGGGGGCGGGTGGCCAGTACCACGCCCGACCGCCTTTGTCTCCCCAGTGGTGATGTTTACACACCGCACCAGGTGCTCATTTAAGGCTGAGTCGACCTAGGGGAGTCTCAGGACCGGTTCAAATAATCGTCACTGGGTGTTGGCCGTGAGCGGGAATCGAACCCGGGTCGCCAGGTTCATAGCGCATCGCGCTGACCGCTACACGAATGCTCCCCAAACACACACACGTGCACACACCCACTCTCGCGCGCACGCACACCCTCATCCCCCTTCCCCCCCCCTCTCTCCCCGCCGCGCTCCCAGCTGCTGAGCGGCGGCGGCGCCCAGGGCCTGGCGGTGCTGGGCGCCGGCCCGGGCAGCATCGCGCTGCTGGGGGCCCTGCAGGAGGCGGACGCGCTGGGCCTGTGCCGCGTGCTCTACGTGCTGGCCCAGCAGCCCGGCCTGCTGGAGGGGGCGCTGGAGCAGCCCTTCCTGGCGCGCACACGCCTCATGCACGCGCACGACGCCGACATCGCCCTCAACGACCAGCGGTGACGCAGCGGTGACGCGGCGGCGGCGGCGGCTGGGGGTGGTGCGGGAGAGGGGGCGGGGGGGTGGGTAACGGGGAGGGGAGCACGGAGGAAGTAAAGGGGGGTGGGGGGGACCATAGTGAGGGATGGGCAAAATACGTGAAACTTGCGAACTGCTGGAATATTTTTTTATTGGATGCAAGGTTTTGGTTAAAATAAAATGACGTGCGTGTCTGTGCGCGCGCGCGTGGGGGATACGGGTGTGTGCAAGAGGAGGCGCGTGTGTGCGTGAGAGGAGGCACGTGTGAGAGGAGGCACGTGTGTGTGTGTTACTGGAGAGCGGCAGGGTGTAGGGGTTCGTGCTTTGCACGACGAACCCGCCTACCCGAGTTCGATTCCCGCTATATGGCCAACACCAGTGACGATTATCTGAACCGGTCCTGGGCCTGCCCTAGGTTAACTCAGCGGTGTTTAAACATCGCCACCAAGGAGACAAAGGCGGCCGGGAGTGGTGCTGGCCACCCACCCCCTCGTGTGCTGTGCCGGCCTTCATATGTGCTCGTGAGCAACACTTGCCCTCAACAGAATGTTAACAGCTGTATGGGGGGATCTTTTTTTCGTTTTCTGTGCAGGGTGAGTGGTGTGGTGGTTTGCGCGCAGCCGCCCGACGCTACAGAGCTTGTGCTCGTGGCGTTACGGCAGGGTATGTACACACGTACCCACGTACACGCACCCTCTCTCTCTCACACGCACACGCCCTCTCTCGTACAATAACAACAGCCGCCATCATTCGCCACCAAGTGGCATTAACATCACCGCGGCACTTGTGCACTCTGAAGGCCACGTTACGTGCAAAGGCTCGCCGGCAGGAAGTCATGGGACAGACCCAGGTGCCATGGGTTGGCCGACTTGGATGACTGGCAGATGCACCACCTGTGCTCTTTACTGTGCCAACTTTCTACGTTTTAGCCGCCCTGCGCTCCACACGTTGTGGTCATTGCTCCTCAGGCCGCCGCTGTTGTTGGGGGCGACTGCCTCCAACTGTCCAGTAGCATCCTTCATGAGCCTCCTCCTCCACAGAGGCCGATCTTGACACGGCTGATACCAGTCTTCGGCAAGTCCACTCAGCTCCACATGCTCCTGTACCACATCACTCCATCTCTTCTCTTGCCCGTGCCGTGCCCATTTAGCCCCCTCTATTACATGTCGACCAAACAGAAGCTGCTTGGACACGTGGTGGCTATGCGGGCTACATGACAAAACCAACGGGACCTCGCCTGCCCTTACTGATGGAACTGTGTCCAGATCTTTCAAGGATGTGTGAGCTCGCACAATCCAGCCTTGTTAAATCCAGGATGGATTGTAGGCAGGACAGCTTGCATGTTTTGAACCTGGCAGTGATGTTCCATTACCGGGCTTCCATGTTTTACAAGCATAGAGAAGGGAGGGTATAACTGGCCGAGAAGACCCGAAGCTTCATGTGGCGTGAAAGGCCAGGTTACTCCCACACAGAGTTCCACAGCTGATGAAGAGATAATGCCGCTCGGCTGATTCTCTGCTTCCAAACCGGAGCTGGTCATAAGCACAATGCCCAGGTATGGAAACCTCTCCACTCTCTCCACAACTGCCCCATTACTCCCCCATCACTCATGGGGAGTTGAGGGGGTGGAGTGTTGAATGACATAAAATATCCATGCACTCCAGGTTCAGCAGCAGCACATCCAACTCCTTTAAGTGAGCAGCAATCACCAGATCATCAGCACATATAAAATGGTTGACAAATAGAGAGCCATCCCTTGACCACACCCAGGCATTGATCAGCCTCCCATTGTATCTGTACCAGATAGAAATTTCTCTGGTAGAGCCATGGAAAGCTTCTCGAACTACGTGGTCGAAAAATAAGTTATATAATGTGAGGGCCAGAAGATATCCCTGTCACACCCCGAGGTGAACAGGGAATGGTTCTGACTCCCAGCCGCACAGCTTTACCTGGGCTTGCCCACAATCATGACGGTCCATAATGTTTGTGAGCAGAGGGTCAGGGACCACGAAAGCGCAAAGAACAACCCAGAACCCTGGCCTATTGATGGTATCATAAGCCTCAAGCAGGTCAATAAAGCAGAGATGTAGGTCCGGTTGAAATTCCATATGCCTCTGCTGTAACCACGGCGTGCCGGGAGGGAGATGCCCCTGCAGTTGTTTCAATCGGTACGGACCCCACTTCTTAATGAGGGGGATCACCAGGGCATCATTCCAATGCTGCAGACTCCTTTCTGTGGTCCAGACAGTTGTGATGATGTCATATAGGGCAGTCTACACACAGACTCCAGCTTCCGTCAGTAGTTCACTGAGGAGATCATTTCTGCCCGGTGCTTTTTTTGGTCTCAGACTCTGGATCTCCTTTCGTACTTCCTCAACAGATGGCACCTCTGCCAGCCCCTCGCAGGGGGTGACAACTTCTTCCAGTATTTGAGGCACGACAGCACCGGCAGAGTTATCCACACTTTTCCCCGTGATGTTTTCTGGGCTTAAGGGGATTTCCCCTATCCCAAGACTTCACAGAAATGCTCAGCACACCTGCAGACCAATTCTTAGGGGTCGGAGATTGGATCACCATTGTTTCCCTTCATAATGGTGGTAGGTGTGGCACTGCAAGCGAGGCTTTCTCTTTACCATTTAGAACACCTCTGTTAGCAAGGGTGTCTGGCTGTCCGCCTGATGAAGCGAGTTCTAATTACTGGCGAAAACGTCGCACTCGGGTTGTAAATGTTGTGGATTAGCTCTCCAACACACCGGTGTGCTATACTAGTAACGAATTGGCACGTTCTGTTTACGTGACAAACCTTACTACTTGGCTGTGTCGGGTGGTGGCGGGTTGAACGACACATTGATATTTACGCGATCTAACCCAAAAAAAAACCCTATAATTATAATCGGTCTGCAGCACGTACCAAATGCAGCCATTAAAGCTGCACGAGCCACAGTCCTGAGCCCTCACCGATTTCCCCTCGGCATCAGGAGGAGGGGGGGGTTGGACGATAACAACCCCAGCTGCACGCGGTGATGAAATTCTCTCTTGCAACTTTCATCAGCTCGCCGAGAACAGGCTTTTGAATGGCTTCCTCCTAGGTGGAAGCCCACCACCGCAGTGGAGGATTAGCAGGCGCATCTTGCAGAGGACCAGCCGATGGTTAGTAGGCAGATCAGTTTCATTTATTTGGTATAGCCCTATGAGCCATTCGGCTCTTGAATCAGGTGCAACCGCAACAAACAAGACAAAAATATGAACAAGAAAACATCTTAAAGTGACTGTGCAAACAGAAAATCCAGGAAAAAACAGCAAAAAATATTCCAGAAAAAGCAGTCCAGCATCCCTGATGTGTAGATGCGCCGATGCCTGAACAGCGTGTTTATGGTTACATTAACCTGCATTCTCACGCACACACACACACACGTACCCCGTCTCACGCACACACACCCATACCCCCTCGCACACTCCTACTGTCACACGCACGTGCACCCACCTCTTCTTGTGCTAAAGCGCTGTACAAACTAGAGAACTAGCGAGAGTCCTTGTAGATGGGACGGTGCTACTGGGATGGGGCGAGCTGGACGGGGTGAGTGGAATGGGGCCGATAGGATGGGGCCAACTGGACGGACGGGAGGGGGCCGACGGGACAGGCCCGACGGGGCGGGATGAGAGTGAGTGAGGTTTCAGCACCGAGTAGTGGTGAGCGTGAATCTGGGGGGTCAGAATCGCCGTCATCTCGCGCGTCGCTCCTCCCGGCCGGCAGGGGGCTCCCTTGGACCACTGCGGTGGAGACCAGGCCTTCGTGTACCTGTGTACAGGTGTGTGTGTACTGGTATGTGTGTCAGGTGTGTGTACCTGTGGGGAGCGGTAGTCTAGCGGTTAGCACGTTGCACTATGAAACCAGAAAACTGATTTAGATTCCCGCTCGCAGCCCCCACCAGTAACGATTATCTGAACCGGTCCTGATCCTCACGTAGGTCGACTCGGCCTCAAATGAGTACCTGGTGCGGTGTGTAAACATCGCCACTGGGGAGACAAAGGCGGCCGGGCGTAGTGCTGGCCACCCACCTCCTCGTGTGCCGTGCCGGTCTACGTAGCTGCTCGCTAACGGCACTTGCCCTGACAGTCTGTTAAGGCTACGCGGGGGATCTTTGTCTTTGATCCTTGTGTGTACCCCCCTGTGTAGGCAAGGGCGTGCTGTGCGAGCACCTGCTGGGGGAGAGCCAGGAGGCGAGCGACGCGTGCTTCCAGGAGGCGATCTCCGCCGGCAAACCACTGCTCTGCGGCTTCTACAGGTGCCGGGGGGGGGGGCTGTGGTGGCTAACGGGGGGGGGGAGGGGGTGGGGGGCATGCGGGGATGTGGGCGGACTGCTACGTCTCTTCTCGTGTGCAGCCACCACAGTTTTTCAAGTATCGGGCTCGTGACGTGTCCAGCAGTGGATAGACCTTGGCCCGTGACGTGCCGCTTGCACCACTCGGTGCGTCTCTCCACGTGCCTCTGCGTGGTTGCTTGTGGTTGTGAGCAGTCGTGAGCGGTTGCGTGTGGTTGTAGTCTTGCGTGGCTGTGAGTGGTTCTGGTTGTGAATGGCTGTGTACGATTATGCCTGTGTGTCGTAATGCGCCGTGTGATGCAAGTGATCGTGGTTGTCTTTGTTGTAACGTGTGGTTGTGTGTGGCCGTGTGGTACGATCCGAGTGTTTGTGTGTGATGTGAATGGGGTTTGTTGCATGTGGTTGTGACCGTCGTTGAAACCGCACGAGGGTGGGGCGACCCCCCCCCCCCCCTCGTACCACTGAGCCCCCCTTATAATGACTCCTACTTAAGGGTAATTTCATAAGTTTCTGACGACTCGCAACACACCTGTCTGGACATGGGGGAGGGGAGAAACGAGGTCACGCGGGGGGGGGGGGGTGGGGAGCAGGTGGAGACGTGGCGCGCGCGGGGACACACAAGGAGGCCTTGGAAGGCTTACAGACACGTAGGGACACACGAGGAGACCTGGACAGAGACTGGAATGCACAGAGGCGAGAGAGGCACGGGTGGTGCGGAGACACGTGAGGGGACACTGACATGTGCAGGGACACGTGGGAAATTACATGGAGGCATGAGGAGGCACGGCGAGGCACGGGGAGGCACAGCGAAACACGAAGATTTGGGGACACGCAGTGAGATGAGAGTGTGGGGTGTGCGAGACGGATGTGGGTTGTGAGTAGGGGTGCGTTAGACGGGGTGTGCGAGACGGGGTGTGGACCGATTGTGGGGTGTGGGGCATTAGTGTAAATCCCAGGAAATGTGTGTTTAAGAAGTGACAAGTGGGAGCGCGGTGGGATTATCCACCGCGACTCTCGCCCCGTGATCACACGGAGGCAGGTGAGCTCATTGTGACCCCAGCCACAACACACCCCGACACAACACACACATTCCGCCATAACAAATACACAGACACCTCCACAACACACACCATATCACAACACACATCATATCACAACACACATCATATCACAACACACACTCCATCACAACACACACCCTACCACAACACACACACACATACTCTGCCACAACACAGACAAGTCCAGGGCTTACCTGCGTGTGTGCGTGTGTGCACGTGTGCGGTTCACACACTTGGCTATCAGCCTAGCCACCTGAGTTTGATTTCTGCCCATGGCTAACGTCAGTGGAAAATGATGACTGATTTGTGAGCCTCCCCCCCGAGGTCGACCCAGCCTTAAATTTGCGCGGTGGAGACCAAGGAAACCTGGCATGTTCATGGTACTGTTACCACACCACCCACTCGTGCACCTTCATGGCCTTCATAGGTGCTCGCCAACAGCACTTGCCCCAACAGTCTTAAGCACTTCATGGGGATTTTTGTATTTGTATGTTTATGTGTGAGTGTCTGCGTATGTGTGCGGAGCGGTAGCACGGTAGTTGGCGGACGTGACGGCCCATGTTCTATCCCCACTCAAAGGCTACCAACATCGGTGACGAATATCTGAACTGGTTTCGGAGCCTCCCCTCGGTCGACTCAGCCTCAAATGAGTACCCGGTGCAGTACGTAAACCATTGGCGCTCCGGGGACTAAGGCGGTATGTGTGCGTGTGTGTGGGGAGACAAAGGCGGCCGGGCATGGTGCTTGCCGCGCACTCCCCCTCGTGCGCACCGTGCCGGCCTTCATAGGTGCTCGCTAACAGCACTTGCACCAAAAGTCTGTTAAGGCTATACGGGGGATCTTTGTCTTTGTGTGTACCAGGCGGTTCGACCCAGCCCTGCAGCTGATCCAACGTCGCATCGAGGAGCGGGGGGAGTTTGGGCAGATCACACGCGTGGCGGCGGTGAGCTACGGCTACCCGCCCCCCAACTTCTCCCTGCTGCACAAGTCTGGTACTGACACACACGCACACATACGCACACTCGCTCATAAACACACTCATACACGTATAGACATACACGCACTCACTCCCTGCTGCACAAGTTTGCTACTGACACACGCACACATACGCACACTCACTCGTAAACACAGCAACAACCGCCATTCGCCACTAAGTGGCGGTGACGTTATGACGACGCTTGTGCCAGGCCGTGTGCACCTTGAGGCCACGTGAAGTGTCAAACGCCCACTGGCAGGAGGTCACGGGGCAGACCCAGATGCCACGGGTCGACTGACTGAGATGACTGGCTGATGCACCACCTGTGCCCCCTACTGTGCCAACTTGCTGTGCTTTAGCCACCCGGCGCTCCGCTCGTTGTTGTTGGAGGGCGACTGCCTCCAACTGCCCAGTAGCGTCCTTCACGAGCCTCCTCCACAGAGGCCGATCTTGACACTGCTGGTACCAGTCATCGGCAAGTCCACTCAGCTCCACATCCTCCTCTACCACATCACTCCCATCTCTTCTCTAGCCCGTGCCACGCCCGTTTAGCCCCCTCGATCCGGCTGAACAAAAGCTGTTTAGGCATGCGGTGACTGGGCATGCGGGCTACATGGCCCAGCCAACGCAGCCTTGCCTGCCGTAGCAGCTCACCGATGGGACCTTGTCCAGATCTTTCAAGGATGTGTGAGCACACTGCCCAGGTATGGGAAACTCTCCACTCTCTCCACAACTGCCCCATCACCAATTGAGAGTTGTGGGGGTGGAGTGTCCGATGGTACAAAATACCCAGGCAGGTGCTTAGTTTTGGTGGGGCTGATGGTAAGGCCCCACCTCTTCGTAGCAAGCTCCAGGTTCAGCAGCAGCGCCTCCAGCTCCTCCTCTGAGTGAGCAGCAATTACCAGATCATCGGCATACATAACATGGTTGAGCAATAGGGAGCCATCCCTTGACCGCCCCCGGGCATCAATCAGCCTCCCATTGTATTTGTACCAGATGGAAATTTCTCCATTAAAGCTATTGAAGGCTTCACAAACTACGTGGTCAAAATAGATGTTAAATAATGTGGGAGCAAGAGGGACATCCCTGTCGCACCCCAAGGTGTACAGGGAATGGCTCTGACTCCCGGCCACGTAGTTTTACCCGGGCCCGCTCACCATCATGAAGGTCCCTAAATGATCGTGATCAGAGGGTCAGGGACTCCGAAAGCACGAAGAACAACCCAGAGCCCAGGCCTACTGATTGTATCATAGGCCTTTACCAGGTCAATAAAACAGAGATGTAGGTACTGTTGGAATTTCCTACACCTCTGCTGTAGTAGACGGACATAAAATATGGCATCTGTGCAGGACCGCCCTTTCCTGAAACCGCATTGGGGCTCCGCAAGCCTCTCCTCAGTGTGCCTAGCAAGGCGATGTTGAATAATCCTTGCCAGGACCTTTCCCGGCACACTGAGGAGTGAGATGCCCCTGTAGTTGTCACAGTCTGTGCGGTCCCCCTTCTTAAAGAGGGGGACCACCAGGGCATCCTTCCAATCCTGTGGAACCCGTCCAGTGGTCCAGACCGTTGCTATGAAGTCATGTAGGGCAGTTTGTGCACAAATGCCACCCCTCAGCATTTAGCTTGGGAGATCATCTCTGCCCGGTGCCTTTCCTGGTCTCAGACTCTGGATCGCCTTTAGTACTTCCTCAACAGATGGCACCTCAGCCAGCCACTCACAGGGGGTGACTACTTCTTCCTCCAATATTTGAGGCACCGCAGTCTCGGCAGGGTCATCCCCACATTGTCCCACATTGTTTTCCTGGCTGAGGGATTTTCCCTTCCCCAGGACCTCACAGAAATGCTCAGAAAATCTGCAAACCTGTTCCTGGGGGTTGGAGATTGGATCACCGTTCTTTACCCTAATGATGGTAATAGGTGTGGCGCTGCAGGTTACTTTTTTGATGGAATTAAAGAGCGATTTGTGATTGCGGGCCATTGAGGCAGACTCCATCTCCTCAGCAACCCGCGACCACCACCCATCCTTGCAGTGCCTCACGGCTCTCCGAACCTACGAGCGAAGGCTGCGGTAAGCCTCCTCATTCTCCGACGTGGGATGCTGTAGCCATTGAGTGGGCCTGTCGCTTTTTCTCAGCCAGCTTGAACACCTCCTCTGTCAGCCAGGGTCTCTGGGGAGGTCTGGACCATGTACGAAAAGCAGCCATTGCAGCTGCATGAGCCACAGTCCTAAACCTCGCCCATTTCCCCTCGACATCAGGAGGAGTGGGGGACGATGCCAACCCCAGCTGCAAGCGATGATGACATTTTCGCCCATGGGCTTGTAATTACCAATACGCTCTTCCGGCATCGGCGCAAGGCTTTGTTCTTACCAATACGCTGTTCCGGCATAGGCGCATCCACACAACATCATGGCTGCACGCCGGGTCCAAGCAGGAATATCTCCTGGACTACATAGTGATGGAACAGCGGATGCGGGCCCATGTCCTTGACACCAGTATCTACCGTGGAGCTGATCTGCCCACTGACCATCGACTTGTCATCTGTAAGATGCGCCTGCCATTCTTCCACTCCGGTGGTGGGTGTACACCCAGGACCCCATTCAAACCCACAGCTAGCTGATGAAGGTTACACTCATACACATACATGCACACACTCCCTGTTGCAAAAGCCTGGTACTGACACACACACACCCATGTACACACACTCACTCATAAATACACACCACACCTCCCAACCGTTCTCGACTGACACATAAACTCGCTCATACACAGTTCGACCATCAATTACACACATACATTCATATACTTACTCATACAATCACACATACATACACACTCACTCCCTACTGCAGAAGTCTGGTACGGACTCGCACACACTGTCACGCACACACTGTCACGCACACACTCAATCACATACACACACACTGATACACATGCACACACACTGATACACATGCACACACACACTGATTCACATACATACATACATACACACAGACGTACAGGTGTATTGCATACAGTACATACCCTCGCATAATCATACCCAAACACACGAGCGCCAGGGCCCCGGGGAAGAGAGGATGGGGTGCAGCGCTGGGTGTGGGGACGGGGGACGGTGGGGGGGGGACGGGGGGGTTCAATCATTATGTGGCGGCCTGTGGTTTAGGTGTGATTTCAGAGGGGTGCGCACGCGTGTGCGTGTGCGCGTGTGTGTGCGCGAGCTTGTGTGCGAGCGTGCGTGTGTATGCACGTGTGTGTGTGCGCATGTGTGTGTGCGCGCGTGCGTGTGTGCGCGCGAAGGATTGTTTTGAGATAATGTGTTTGTGTGTGTGCGTGTGTTGTTTATGTGCGAGGGTACCAGTGTAAATGTGCGTGTCTGTGTGTGCGCATTCGTGCATATGTGAGCCCGAGGGACTTTTGTTTTGAGCTAATGTGTTTGTGTACGTACACGTGTGTGTGTGTGTTGTATGTTTTGTGTGTATCAGTGTATATGTGCATGTGCATGTATGTGTGCGCACGCGCGTGTTTGTACGTGTGTGCATGTACACGCCACACGTGTACGACACCGTGCCCCCTCGTGTGTCGTGCCGGCCTTCATAGGTGCTGCTCGCTAACTGCACTTGCCCCAACAGTCTGTTCACGCTATACGGGGCATCTTTGTCTTTGTGTACACACGTGGGGAGCGGTGGCACAGTGGTTAGAGCACTGCGCTACGAACATCAGTGATCCGAGTTTGATTTCGACTCGCCGCCAATTACAGCAGCGAATATCTTAACAGGTCTTGGGCCTCCCCTAGGTGTACTCAGCCATAAACGAGTACTTGGTGCGGTGTGTAAACATCGGCTAGGTGGGTGCTCAGCGGTGGAGGGAGGCAGCTCGCAATCGAAAGGTTGCAAGTCTCCAATCCTGGTCGGGGGTTAAATCGGCCCATCATTAACCTTTCCCCTGGGGTAAATAGAAACTAGGACCACTTTTTAGGTGTTCTCTCTAAGAAAAACTTGCTCCTTCCATAAGAACGTGGAACTTCCATCGGTGACTCAGGGCTACAGGATATGAGCACTGCCTCAATGCTCGTTCGAGCAGGAAATCGCTTGTGTAAACATCAGCACTGGGGAGATAAAGGTGGCTGGGCGTGGTGCTCACCACCCATTCCCTCGTGTGCCCTGCAGGCCTTCATAGGTGCTTACTCACAGCACTTGCCCCAACGGTTTGTTGAGGCTATACGGGGGATCTTTGTCTTCGTGGAGTGAGTGTCAGTATGTTCCTTTTGGGGAACGGTGGCGCAGTGGTTAACACACTGCACTACGAACCCAGTGACCCCAGTTCAATTCCCACTCAAGGCCAAAAGTGGCGACGAATATCTGAACCGGTGCTGGGCCCTCCTCTAGGTCTGCTCGGCCTTAAACGATTACCTAGTGCTGTGTGTACACATCAGCATTGGGGAGACAAAGGTGGCCGAGTGTGGATTCCTGCCACACCGCGGGCCCCCTTCTTTCGGAGCGCCGTCCGCAGGTGCTACTCGCCAACGGCACTTGCCCCCGGACGGCCCATTGATGCCGTACGGGAGGGGTGGGGGGGTGGATCTTTGTCTTTGGCGCTGGGGGAAGCAGGCTCACGGCTCTGCCCTGGGGCCTACCGCGCTGTGGCTCAGGTTTAAGCCGGCTGCTATCAATTCCCATTCACTTCACGGTCGGCCATTGTGTTCCCTGCACCTCGGCAGCGCCGATGTGTCGTGTGTTGTACGTGCTGGTGTGCGCGCACGTGCGTGTTGTTGTCTTTTGTTCGGACTTCCTTCCGTTTGTCAGACATTGAACAACGCGCGCGCGCCGTGGTGTGTGTACGCGCGCGTGCGCACGCTGGCACGCGTTGTTGTGGGGAGAACGCGGGGAGAGCGTGGGGGAGAGCGAGCGAGCGGTGCGACGCGGTGCATACCTAGGCGCACCGCACAGCGCCCCGGGGCGCACGCGGCGTGCACGCGCTCACACACACACAGGGACAAAGACACGCACGAACATTC